CAAGTCTGCAGTTTCCTGCCCCCAACAGCAGGCAGCTGCAGCAAAAGCAGCCAGCTCCCGCATTGCTGCTGCCTGCTTCAGTGGGGCTGGGGCCAGCTCCTGGCTCCCCTCGCAGCCCTGCCCATGCCCCGAGTCATGACCCACAACCCCCCAGCCCCGCCAGAGGGGCCCCACTTGCAAGCCCCTTACCTCACAGGCTCCAGGAGCAAAGTGAAGCTGAGCTGAGCTGAGCTGAACTGTGGCTGACTGAGCGCCTCAGGTACCACCCTTTCTCTTCCCCCTCCCACCTCCCCTCTGGGGAGGCCTGGGTGTTTCCCGCCCTGTTTGCAAACAGTTCTTGCATGCTGGAGCTCAACCAGCCTGCAGAGCTCTTTGCAAAAGAAGGGAATCCACAGGTTTCTCTGATAAAATGGGGAAACCCATGGTTTTCTCTGTTTTTCCTTGGGAAACGGAAAACCCGGATCCCTGCTGATCAGAGATAATGCATAAAATAACTAACATATGCATAAAATTATAAAGCCTTTTAACAAAGAATTTATGTGACTTGACTTGCCTTCTGTTGCTGCCAAATCCCATGCCAAGTCTTTCTATCTCATATTTCTTTTTACCAGTCAGATTTAATTTTTCATCTTTCCTTTGAATTTCAAGATCCTTGTAGGTCAATCGTAAAGATAATACTCTAAAATGAAACAAATATATAACAAATGTATAACAAATGTAAATCATTAGCCCTCAATCCAAGTATAATTGGCAGAAAAGCAAAAATACATGTAACATCTAAAATACTGTATTAAAGCCAAGCTAAAAGATACAAGAATTGGCCTTGACATTTTGTCAGTTATTTTACATACTCAAACTTTTTCTGGGAAGAAAAGAAAGAAGAGGACTAATCCAGAGGCCAGCAGGGCCCAGCTTTATTTAATACCTCCCTCTTTAGCCCTGGACCAAACGCACTACTACTTTTCTAAGAATATTAGCATGCAAAGTTTTAAGCATCCAAATTCGCAGGCTTGATCACAGTCAGCAAAGAATTTAACACAATCTCAAAATTTAACATAATACATACAGCTATGTATAAAGCTGCATTTTCCAGTCAGCTGCATCTGACTGATCACTTTTATATTGATGCATTCTTGGAAAGAAATTTTTCCCCTTTCAGTTGAACTGATAAAGTCAAGAGCTTTTAGCCTTTGCTTCAGCAGTGTAGGTTTAGAGGAGTAATAACAGGAATTTCAATATTAGCATGTACTAGAGGAATGTTTTGTCTGTCACTACTTGTAGCCAATGTCAATCTCTGATAAAAGTTAAACGAAAAATAAAAAGAGGTAAAACAGACCTAGGATATAGCTGGCAGGTATAGCTTGTGCCATAAATAAAAGGCTAGATCTGAAGTCTCTGCAGACTAAGTTCCCCCTAAGGTTTCTCTACCCACTTCATTACAAGTGAGGAAAATGAGAATTCAAAAGCTGTTCGTATAAGCATAAAAAGGTCTACTACGGATTATAAATATACATCAGGAACCTTCATAGTTGGTAGGGTCAGAAGGGACCCGAGCAGATCACCAAGTCCAACCCCCTGCCATAGGCAGGAAAGAATGCTGGAATCAAACGACTCCGGCTAGGTGATTATCTAGCCTCCTTCTGAAGACCCCCAGGGTAGGAGCGAGCACCACTTCCCTCAGAAGTTGGTACCAAATCCTAGCCACCCTGACTGTAAAGTAGTGCCTCCTGATATCTAGCCTGAATCTACTCTCAGTCAACTTATGACCGTTATTCCTTGTTACTCCCGGCAGTGCTCAGGGGAACAGGGACTCTCCCATAGCCTGCTGGTCTCCCCTGGCCAGCCTGTAGACAGCCACCAGATCCCCTCTCAGCCTTCTCTTGTGGAGGCTGAACAAGTTCAGGTCCCATAGCTTCCCCTCGTAAGGGCCTGCCTTGCTGCCCCCTGATCATGTGAGTGGCCCTCCCCTGGACCCTCTCGATGCTGGCCACATCCCTCCTGAAGTGCAGCGCCCAGAACTGGTCACAGTACTCTACCTGCAGCCTGACCAGTGTCGCATAGAGGGGGAGGATCACCTCCTTGGACCTGCTCGTGATGCATCTACAGATGCATGCCAAGGTGCGGTTAGCCTTCCTGACCACGTCCTCACATTGGCGGCCCATGTTCATCATGGAATCAATAATGACTCCAAGATCCTTTTCTGCTTCTGGGCTAATGAGAAGAGTTCCCCAGCCTGTAGGTATGCTGCTGGTTCCCCAGGTGCAATAGCTTGCACTTGTCAGTATTGAAACCCATCCTGTTCTCATCTGCCCACCCCTGTAACCTGTCCAGATCTAGTTACAGTCTTTCCCTCTCCTCTAGCGTGCCCACTTCTACCTACATCTTAGTGTCATCCGCAAATTTGAACAAGGTACTTTTCACCCCCTCATCCAAGTTGCTGATGAAGATGTTGAACAG